AGCGCGCGACTCCGTGTACCACCTGAGCTGCTTCACGTGCACCACTTGCAACAAGACGCTGACCACGGGCGACCACTTCGGCATGAAGGACAGCCTGGTTTACTGCCGGCTCCACTTCGAGACGCTGGTGCAGGGACCGGAATACCACCCCCAGCTCAACTTTGCCGAGCTGGCAGCCAAGGGCGGCGGCCTCACCCTACCCTACTTCAACGGCACCGGTACGGCACAGAAGGGAAGGCCGCGCAAGAGGAAGAGCCCGGCTATGGGGATAGATATACCCAGCTACAACACAGGTGAGACAGCATGCTGCTCAGAACAGGGCCTCACATTAAGGCAAGGTATACAACCGTACGTATTAAATATAGGCTACAAAGGCTATTAGAAAATAATTTGTAAATGGTTATAAGTTTCTGGTTATTGATTATGCTGTAAAAGTAGCCTATAGCTTTGAACTGTTTCCCCTTTATATTGTATGGGCAGGCCCAGCAGTGGAGGACAGTGAAACCTACAGGAAAGACGCAGTGAGCTTATTACCTAACCGTTCTCAAATCTAGAAAATAACATTAATTAATTAATGTTAATTAAACATTAAGCCATTTTCATCATGTGGGTTAAATCCCACTGGAACCAAGTGAAAGACCCCCAGTGGTCCTTTGATCCTATTTTGGGAACTTTTTGCTAGATTGTGGTTAAAATCTACATGATGCTCGGATTTTGCTGATCACAGTATCGCTGTATTCATTTAATTGTACTTTAAAAAAAATAGGCAGCAGAAACGATTAAGGTTAAATCAATCACTCAAATAAATAAATAAACAGTAACGTTTTTGTTTTTTTTAATTCTTAAAACAATCTGGGGATGTTTTTTTTCCGATAAGATCCTCACTCTCTAATCCAGACGGTTGCTCAATGCCCCAGCTGTAGCAGCCATAGGTCAACTTTACATGTCTGATATTAAAAGCCCACATCTGTCCTCTATGCAAATATAGGTGAAGCCGTGGGCTAATTGATCGGCAGCTTTTTGTACACGCGTCTTGTTCGCACCGTTTCTTTGCTTGCCACTGTGGCGTGTGTTACACGGAGAATGATCGAAATTTGACCTCGCCGTCAACCTGCTCATCGACTTCTGCAATTAAGACTAATTTAGGTCAAAATAAATGTAGGCTACAGAAAGTGTGCGAACGGTGTAGATGTAATGTAGGACTTTTGCGTAAAAATCGTGGCCAAATAATCGTCAAAATCATATCATGTTTTGCGTGTTTTTGACCTTTTGATGGAATAATAAAAAAAAACAAACAAAAAAAACAACAGTCATCACAGTGTACATTAAGCTTCTGTTAAACGTCGGTTTCATCTAAAATCTCGTATTGAATCGCTGAATGTTATAACCCGACCCCCACCCCCAACCCACCCCCCTGCAGCGTCCCCATTTTGTTGTCGCTTTCTGCGAATTAGTGTGCGGTTGAGAAAGTTTGTCATTGTGCGCCAAGTTTCCTCTGTTCCCGGTGAATAGGGAGGAATAAGGGTAATCTGCGCGTTAATTGTTCTTCGTTAATTGAAGGTGACGTTGGAATCCCTGGCCTCCTGTGCGGCGGTCAGCATAGTTCTCAGGGACACAGCAGAGCCGTGCAGAGGGGCCTGCTGCAGGGAGAGGCCACACCACACTGTACACTCTGCGCTCCGGTTGAAAGGGCTTTGGTTTGTTATCCGTAAACACAATTCCAAGAGGTTATGCAGATCCTAAAGTTCTCATGGATGCCTGGCTAGGGGAATAATCACGTTGGTTCTGTAAAGTTTTCTTTAATGGGACAATATGCCTACCTCAACAGAGCGTTAAAATGTACTAATGCAACCACAACAGGTTTAAAATCAAACAAAAGAAAATCCTGTAGTAACAGAGAAAGACATAAAATACTGGGAGACGATGTCACTGTGAACTCATTATCAGGCACCACAGACACAGTAAAGGCCCCACTGGGGATATTATAGTTTTCATTTGGGATATTTAAATAAAATAAAATAGGACATTTTTAAATTTAAAAAGAGGCTTATTGGCTTTTTATGCTTAAGTAAAATTCCTTTTGGAAATATGAAATGTCCTAATTATATGATGAATTTATAACCCCTTTACAACATTCAAAATTGACAAATTAAAAATGAAAAATCAACTGGAAAATAAAAAATACGACTAATTCATTTAGAGAACAACTGAATGATTTAGTATTGATATTTTCTCTTTTCCAAAGTGTATTTTTCCCCTTGTGCTATAATAGCACTAACACAGCTTTTACACCTCTCTCTGTTCATGTTAATATCGATCTGCAGATCAAGAGACTCACATTCATGATAAATAGGATGAGGTTTTGTTTAAAGTTTTGTTTCTGCTTTAGCGAGCACATACATGTTTGTTTTCACCAGGGAAAGGTGTGGGTCTACTGAGTATTCCACGCCACTGTAAAGTTTGGTCTTGTTTGGATATAGAGACCCCTAGTGGGTAATATCTAGTGAAACACGATCCAGTGAAGGCTGCAACAGAAGAACATAGATGTCCATGACTGTCATATTTATGGTTCTTATAAGTGTCACAAGTGGTAGTCTCATATAACAAAAACATAATTCACACCATAACATAATGCCACACATGTTAAATCTACCTTATTCAAACTGATTTGTAATTTAACCCGATAATTAATTTCTGGGGAAATTGTGTCCTTGTGATGAAGTGTTGATATAATTCATTTGATGTTTTATCAGCTGATGAGCTCTGTGGTTACAGAGAGACAAGAAAATTACTACAGCTTACTATATAATTTAGAAATCCTATTCTTTGCCGGCCAGTGTTCCTCTGCATCTGCAGTAAAATAAGTGATGAGATCTTAACATGAATACTAAATTCTGTGGAAAAATCCAATTCAATTCAAAATCAATTACCAATTGGCATTAATTGTATTTTTACTATACGTTTTGGTTGAAATCACACAAATATTCTAATTAGTCACATGCACGTATTTATTGGACAAAAGAATTTGCTTTGTTGCAATAGCACAGAATTATACAAAGATCCTGTTTAAAAAAAACAATATATTGCGGAAATGTTGTGTTAGGATTTTTTTTTTTAAGCTGTGATAAAGATTTCAGCAGCACTGTTGCCATGCATGCGTTTAATTTAGGGGATCCGTTTTTGCATATCAACATCTTTAAGTATTTCACACACTGAGCTATTGACAAATGAGGCCCATTAGGCCTGTTAGTCTTTGCAAACACAAGCAGAAATAATTTAACCCAGTCCCACTCTACGGTTGAAATACATCATTTTGCATCATTTTTTTTTTTTTTTTTAAACTTACAGTTTCCATTGAAAAACATAATAATCAAAACTTCCAATGCATTATACATACGTAGAGAGCTAAAATTTATTTCAGTTGTGTTAGGTAAATCAGTTTCTTGACTGTTACTGATTCAGATATTCTAATTACATATACAAAACTTATTATCATTATTAAAATTATTAATACTGCAGGCCTAGGTCAACAGAAATGTGCTTAAGTTCAGATATAGTGTGACAGCATGGATCTCTTTTTCTCTGCAAACCTTGACCATGTAACAAGATATTTAGTTTAATATTGAGTCCTAAAACATTTTATTAGTCACCAGTGCTAATAATGTTATTGAACAGTTTCTTGATTTTAGAAACACTATCTGTCCAGTAGTGAAGGGATTTCTGCTATATGAAGTTAGTTGTCTGCCCATTGTCTCAAGAAAATTCTTGAGCAAATAGAAAATTAATTTGGAAACAGAACAGAAAACTAAATCATTCGCTGAACTAAAAAAAAATTGCAAGCTGTTGTTCTTTTGGACATTGAACCACCCCTGTGTTTTGCTCTCTGCCCTCTCAGGCTGTAACGAGAATGACACCGATCACTTGGACCGGGACCAGCAGGCCTACCCTCCAACACAGAAGACCAAACGCATGCGGACCTCCTTCAAACACCATCAGCTGCGGACAATGAAATCCTACTTTGCCATCAACCACAACCCGGACGCCAAGGACTTAAAGCAGCTGGCCCAGAAAACAGGCCTCACTAAGAGAGTTCTACAGGTAAGCAGAGAGCCATTCTTCTTACTGATCTGATCACCCCATATCTGTGTCTGCACCCCACTCCTTCGCCATGTCCCTCCCATTTCACACCAGAATTATCACTGAAGTCATCTTTTTTGTTTTTGTTTGTTTGGTTGGTCCATTTAGTCATTAGTTGTATATCCAGGGGTTTTTATCTGAAATTTTGTAGATTCATAAATGTTTTTTTTTTTTGGGAAAGAAAGGAGAAAAGTAGTTCCTAAGCGCAGAAACTTGAGTTTAAAATTGTTGCTTATATTATTAATAATGAGAGTGCACATGTTCTTTTTATCTGTGGAAAAGAAAAAGGTGTAATTCAACTTTCACAGATGAACGTTTTAAAACGGATAGGACTATTGTTTTGATTTGATATTAAAATCCACATTTTTGTATTCAGTGTTCAGGAGCTAACTGGTTCCTTGTTATCTGCCCCTTAAGCTCAAAATAATGTATGAAAATTGCTATATAAAGATTTATATATATATATCTATATATAGATATATATAGATATATATATATATGTATCTAAGGAAAGAGCAACTTGATACAGTGATAGCTGTGATAACTTGATATGTAAACGACTGTACAAATGATTCTTTTTAAAAATTAATCCTACTTAAACACAAAAAGTAAAAGCCACATTGGGATTGGTTTGCAGGTTTGGTTCCAAAACGCAAGAGCCAAATTCAGAAGGAACGTTTTGCGACAGGAGAATGGAGGTGTTGATAAGGCTGATGGCACCTCACTCCCTCCACCCTCATCCGACAGTGGGGCCCTGACCCCCCCCTCCAGCGCGGCCACACTAACAGACCTGACAAACCCCTCTATCACTGTAGTGACCTCCGTCACCTCTAGTTTGGACAGCCATGATTCGGGGAGCCCTTCGCAAACTACCTTGACAAACCTTTTCTAACAAGCTATCTCTAGCAGACTGATTTTTATTTTATCTGATTTTTATTTGTTTTTGTTTTTTTTATTTTAATTTTATTTTCTTTCCTCAATTTACATTTTATTTTTTTAAGTGACACCTTTAAATCAAGCAGAGACAGCTCCTTGGAACAGAAAGTGCTGTACTGTGTACACAAACAAGAACAACAAGAGCAAGAACAGCAGCGACCACATTAAACACAAGGAAATCATTTTAATGTGTAGCATTTGATACCGCATGGCAGCCGTGTCTGTAGTTGACCTACAGTATGCAGAAACTGATTTTGGACAGGACATTTTGAAGTTGAAGGCATTAGAAAATTGTCATGTATTCCACGGTTTATTGGAAAAAATAACTAAACTTGAAGCTTGTCTGGAAAAATAGTTTTACTTGATTTGACTTGATTTGTACATTTGTATTGAATTATGATAAAATGAGCCCTTCCTAATTTATGGTTAATTGGTAAATTTTAAAATAATATGAATATTTTGCCCTCAGAAACCTGTATATGTATGCACTGTGTTCGCACTATCCGATTTAAAGATTTTTTTTCTGTTTTGGAATAATTTGGGAAATAAACTTGTAGAATGTTCTGTATATGGGTAACTCCAGAAAACAGGCTTTAATTATTTCCGAATGTTTCAGTCTTTAAGACTGAGTTGGATGGAATCAGACATTGGGATATCTCACAGAGCTACATGTAGAACGTCTAAATTGCATTATAAGCACCTATTCATTGCAGCTTATGTGGCAGGTAGATGCTGAAACCACACACATTTTTTGTCTTGATTCACAACTCTACTGTGATTAAGAGAAAAAAAGCAAATCCCACAATCTGTACAGTGGTAACTGATCAACATGTAATGCAGTCACATTGATAGAAATTGCTCAATAATTAGAAAACAGCAAGAGAAATTAAGATTGGAGAGCAGTTTATGGGCACTGTTGTAATCGACTGTTTTCATAACAGAGCACTTTTTCAGATTTGTTGGCCTCATAGATTAACCGTAGTCAAATGGATAAATCCTAGTAAGCATATCCATAGATCCACAGCTAAACTCAATTGCACAGTGACAATATACTGCCCAGTGAAAAGTGCATTATTGTTTTTATCATGTTGCTCAGGGTAACAATGTGATTTTAAAAAGGGAAAAGGAAGGGAAGGGGTGAGAAATTGAGTGGTTGCGACGTTGCAGACTAGATTTGTCGAGCTGACATGTACATTCAAATGACCTCAGATAGGTGGAGTCGTAAGAGGCAGCCAGTGGGAAATCATTGTCCATATGTTCTCTTTTTTGGCCATATTTATACTTTCTTTAATGACACTTGCCACTGAACAGACCAAAAACATGTTTCTTCTGGCTGAAAGATAGAGAGAAAAGAAAGAAAGAGCAAATCTTCAATGGAGTTGATAACATTTCATTGTGAGCGTCACAGTTTGTTCTATTGTAGAACAAAGTGGTACTCTAGATCTACTTAATGAAGTAGATGCCTAACTCAGTTCTACTATGTGCCTTATGCTATAACTTGGGAGAAAGTTTGTGAAATTCAGGATATATGTGTTCTTTGTTAACTGATTCACATCCTTTTGACGCCTCACTAGTTTTGTACTGTTTTGCATCTTATTTCCGAAGATCTTTTTATGGTGTATCCTGTTAAAAAGGGGGCAGCGATGTCATAGAAAGCATTTGTGCACTCTTTCAGATATAGTTGGGTAATCCAAGAACCTTATATATTGATCTTCGTGTTAATAGTTGAGTACAGTAAGTGTTCTATCAAGATTGTCCATGTTTCCCTGTTTCTTGATAAAGATGGTGTATAGAAACTATTTCCCCTTAAATATTTATGGACCAAACGGTTGTTATATATCTTATTAAATTTGTGTGAATAAAAATACTTTGCTTTAAATGGGTTTTATTTTTCATTACACTTGCCATTTTTGTGTTCTTTCTTGAATACAGTTTTCGTTTATCACATCAACAAATGAGAAAGCATTCAGTTATTAATGACCAGTTAAACGTCCTCATTTTTGCTTCCATTTTTAATTTCTATTTCCTATTTTATGATGTTTATGGTTTTTAACGTAATGCCCCATGGATTTGCATCTAAACCCTGCAGTCAAAAATATGAAATTGCTTTTTAATGCATGAACATGGCTTTAAAATTTAGATCAAAGGAATGCTGCAAAGCATATATTGATATATCTCTATATACATATATAGTATATATTTATGCGTAACATATTGGTAAACCTAAAATGAAGTAAGAGTAAATGCAGACCCCGTAAAGCCAGGTTGCTCTGTAGTTAATATATTCTTACTCTATCATTTCTTTCAGGGAGAACAAATCTTGGGGCATTACAGCCATACATCCCGACGTTTGAAAATTCCCTAAAGTATTAACAGAAGGGGAAAACTTTGATGGGAATTCCTCACCATTGAAGACAAAGACAATATTAGGATAAGATGATAGCAAATTGAGAACAAATAAACAACCACCATAAAACCTGTTTCAGTTGCAAATGTACAACAGATGATTATTTTAAAAACCAGAGTTTGTCCTGAATGTTTGAATCCATCAACGGAGGAGACCCCACAATGTATGAAATTTATGATATCAATGTGGAAAAAAAATCTTTCTGTATTGGAATGGTAAATGCACAAAAATGATAATAAATGTATTGTAACATAGTAACAAAAAAAAAAACTCACAGAAAGGTACAGGATGTGATTAAAAGATGGCAGGCATCCAACATGACTAGAGTGTCAAACCAAGACGGTATGGATGTTAATGATACGAACACACACACACACACACACACACACACACACACACACACACACACACATACACACATACACACATACACACATACACACACACTGCAAACACAACCTTTTTCCCACTGCCTTGCTCCTACATAAGCACAATATATACATTCCCACAATCCTTGTTCTCCACCACACACACTGTTACACACAAACATACAAATGCACACACACACACACACACACACACACACGCTGCTGCCCCCATGCAACCCCACCCAAGACTCAGCTTGCTCAATAGAAGTTTTCTTTTGTCACAAGTGTCATTTCATAAACACATGGCCTCCTTGAAACTCGGCAGCAGGATGCCCATCAAATATGATGAGTGTATGAAGGGGACTGCAGAGCTGGAGCTTTGCCATCTGGCTGTACCGAGGGAAGGAAGTGAAAAAACAAAGCAGATAAAGAAGAGATTCTCATTTTGCATGCGCCTCATCATCTTGTTAACATTTTCCTTGAGATGTATATTATTTCCTTTGATTCACTGTATGATTCATTGTCAGCTGCAAAATAAAGCATATGAAAATGACGTCCCTGATGCCCATATAGTACCTCACAGTGGAAAAAAAACAAAATGTCATTGTGAGGACATGGACAGCACTGCTTCAAGCTTATGTGTTCTTGACATTCAGCGTACTGTAGAGGGTAAAACATTATTGGCTTCTTACCTCATTATTGTGGATATTTGCAAGAGCAGTATATCTCTAGTGCATGTCATAACATTCCTAAACACTTGGCCTCTGCTGCTCTTATAGATTGTATGACATCTGGCATTTTCGCTATTTATAGGATACAATAATTATTTTCAGTCCTATTTTAAACTCACAAAGTGATTTAAAAATGTATCCACATATTTGCGCACATAAATGTTTTTGTAATAAAAGTAAAAAAAAAAATAAAAAAAAGAACATTCAAGCAACATTTTATTTACCAGTGTGATTTGAGTCATAACACAATTTCTTCATAGTTCGGCAGTGTACTATCGCATTACTTAGTGTAAATGCTATGTATGTGATGTAAAGAAGGTGTGTTGTGGAAACAGAAAAAAAAGAGGAAGGGGGGGGACTAAAGCCACATGGGAACCAGTAAACAGGCTGGTGTTGAATTCCAACAATGTGGGAAACAGCAAACACTTCAGTCAGTCCAAGAGGAAACCTCAGTCGCTGGGGTGCCTGCACGCTGTGGCAGCAGGGCTGTGTTCCCCGGGTCTGACGGGAGGACGGTGGGCGGGTTGACACCACGGAGCTACAGGAAGCGGTGCTAGAGAGGAAACACAAACAAACACAGCCTGGCTGCCCTGCTCAGCTTTGGAGCTGCAGGATGAAAAGTCTGGACAACGTCATGGCCTCGTGTTGACAAGAATGTCAGGGGTTTGCTGTTGGGCTGTTGGTGGAATGCATCCTGTTGCAACATTAGCATGTGTATGTGTGTGTATTTGTATAAGCAATGACTGATAAACAATTGCTTCACCCTACTCCAGGTATTTCCAAAGACATATTAAACGATATGAAGAATGAAAAAATACAGGGAGCTGAATAACGCTCCCTTGTAACTACATATTGCATTCAAGCGTTTCAGCACCACATGTGTCTTTGGTCCATTAACTTGCTGTAAAAACCATGAAATCCAACTGATATAGTGTGATAAACCCGTTCAACCCCTGATCCTTTCCTCTGCATTAATCAGTGTAAAAAAATAAGAACAATATTGTCTGTCTGTGCAGAGACCTCAACAAGTAAGAAAGGAGGGCCTCTGCCAACTGTCATCCTCCTCCCCCTCTCTTATCTCCTCTTCCTGTTAAATGACAGCCTCTGTGTATTATGACTGTGCAAAAACAATGTAGACAATGCTGCATGTTTGCTGTCACACAGGCAGTTTGTTCATAAAAGCCTGGGTGATCCTGATATTTATGACACTGTGCTTTACCGTTTCAGCTCGAATCCCCAAGCAAAAGTTGCCCAGTAACTAAAAATATACCCCACTGCATTTATAGATGACACATACGTGATGCAGCTCCTTTGCAAACACACAGACTTTTTCAATACTTCAAAAGTACAGACAAAGACAAAGCAGAGTATACTAGACGAAGAAGTGCCTGATATGGTTTGGGCCTTTGCTGGAGACCCATGCATTCAAATAGTTTTGTGATCCAGATAAATGCCAGTTTATCAGGCTTGGGTTTTACAAACCTATACTCAAACTTGTGACATTTGCAACTGAGACTTGCTATTTGGTCAGTTCTGCCTAAAAAAAAATGTGTTACTCATAAAGGTCAAATGTAGAACTCTGCCTTCGAGCACAAAAAATATTAGAGGGAATCTCCAGCATCAATTAATCAGGTTGACATCAGATTTTGCTCCATGACAACTACAGAAACCAAATCAGCAAAGCGTTCAAATTAACTCTATGTCTAACACTTGTAGGTATCAGAGTTATTCTCCAGATGCAGGAGGTTATAGATGGTGAACTGACTCTGGGTGAAATTCAACAAGTGTGTGGTTATTTTCAACGTATCTCAAAACGGAGTTGTGTTAACTGTGGTTGGCAACACCTGGAATTCACACTGTCTTTGACAACCAAATGGAGAATGAGTTCCCTACTGAGTGATCTGTAAACTCCAGGAAAGTGTGTCGCTGTGAAGGACACACACATACACGATCACACATATATTACCACACATTATACACACACAGTGACAGGCGACAGGGTCAAAACAAAGTATGGTATGATCACTGAGGCATAAGACTTCATTCTGCCTAAACCTTCAGTTTACATGTTTCTCTGATAGTGTTGTTTCTATTGTCACTACTGGTGTTTGTGTGTGTGTGTGTGTGTGTGTGTGTGTGTGTGTGTGTGTGTGTGCGTGACACTCTGCCAGTTCCACCTCAGTTCCATCCTCTCATTGCTAGGCACCTATTTAACCTCACCTCGCACACCAACCACCCTGCTAACACAAATACACACCGGCACCAGGACACACACAAACACAGACACACACACACATAGGCAGATGTCAGAGGGGTGATGATGTGAATGAGACACAGTGTGTGTGTGTGTGTGTGTGTGTGTGTGTGTGTGTGTGTGTGTGTGTGTGTGTGTGTGTGTGTGTGTGAGACTGAGGCCTGCCCCCTGGTTGATGCAGAGCAGGTGGAGAGATCCACTGTGCTGGGTGTTTGCCAAGACAAGGAGTATGCTAACAAATACGTGCCGGTCCACATGCACACACACACACACACACACACACACACATACACAGACACACACACCAAAACACAAATACAGACACACAAAAGCAGCCTCTGAAAAATAGATTTTATAGAGTGATCTAGGCAGAAATAATATGCCAGTTTTGTCCTTCACATTATCACAGACTATCTCTCCTGTGCCTCATTTGCACACTGTTCTCCACATGCCATAAATCCTTTATTTCTCTGTTGTGCTGTTATTCTATATTTACACGTATTTGTTATGTGACGGCTCACATCTAGACAACCTTGAAAATGCTGCGATCAAGGCTGATAACTATGGGTTGCAATTGCGCTTTGAAGACAAAACAACATTAATTAGTGAATAAAATGGAAATGCAGGCATCACATGCTTGCTGCCTCCAAGTTCGCCTGGGTATATGAAGAGAGAGACAACATTTCATACATATTTCCATCTGTAATCCCTTTCTCTTTTCCTCTGATAGCTGTGCTCTGTGAGGTACATAAACAGGAAGCTCGTCTGCATTGATACGGCATGTTTCAGTGTGTGACAGGTCATCTTTGTACTGGTAGAGTGTAACCTCTCAGTTCTTGCTAAACCTTCAGGATGCACGCAGCGCCTCTCCCCTCCATCTGCTGGTCTCTATGAAGTCTGCACCCGATCACAGGAGCTTTGACTGTAGCTTCTGTCTCTACCACATTGCAGTCATACCTAACCCCTGAGCCAGATCAACAACACAGAGGGAAATATAAAAGACATGAGTGAAAACATCAACATTTTTTCCTTTTTAAGTGTTTAAAATGCGCTATCAGCCTCTGGGTGCAAATATTCTGCATATTAAGCAATGAAAAACCCAGGTACAATTGCAATGAAATGTGTATATTGAAGAAAACACAAACTGAACTAGTGTGCGTGTGTTCTAAGACTACCACAGCTCTCACAATTTAGATACTTAGCAGTTTCACAGTTGATCTGAAATTAGCCTTTTTCTCTGTACTGAAACAAAGATCAATTTTGGCCTGAAGTGCTTCTCGATATTCTCTCCTGGTGATCATATTCATGAGCAGAACACATTAGTGGCCAAATTCTTGTAAAATAAACTTAATAGCCATCAGATTACATTAGTGGGCAAATTCATTCAACAAAAAGGCCAAAAATAGAATAATTTTTCCTGACACATAAGAGTTACACATCATGACTACAGTAAATTGTCCAAAGCATGTCTATGAATCTAGCAAGTCAGCCTCCCTCGGTTCACCTGGGAGGAAGAACCCTGCAAGCGACACCAGAAAGTTTTAAGGGGAAGAGAGTGAAACAGATGACAATACTCTCCTCATGCTGAAAAATATCCTCAAATCAAAAGGAAATCCTTTCTGTTAAATAAACAATATCAGCAAAAAGAACACAAAAAGTTTGCTATTGGTTTAAAGCACCAGATCAGTGCAGAGAGCCACTTTTAGAACAATGGAAATTCAACACGATTATTAAACAGTTTTCTACCAAACAGACGTGGAAGCATGCGTGTTGAACTAGAGGATCTCTGGGTGCAGCTCCCCTCGCAGACTGATGCATTACTTTTCATCCATCCATCTAATTATTCCCTCAGAAACCTGAAATTTGAAGATACAAAAGACCGTCCCTATCTGTCACTGAGCGCCATTGATCTTATTGAAAGAAAATGTGGGTGTAGAGGAAACCCAATATAACTCATGCCATTAAATTCCACACAGCATTATTCACATACAGAATTGACAGATTTCTGTGAGACGTTTCTTTTAATCTTCAACTGTTGTTGAAGAAAAAGGGGGAGAAATCCTACACTCCAGGCATCTCTCCCTTTTCCATATTTGCAGTGAGGTTAACAAAAAAGGCTATTGAAGTAGGGAGAAAAAACACAAACCTACCTAACTTGTTGATTATTAACAATGGGGATGGGAAGAAGACAGATGTGTTTCTTGTGTATCAGCAGTGTTTGAATTGTCAGTCTGAAATCAGCGCGGAAGCTTTTATCAAAGCAAAGTAAGCTGATCAATTCCATATGCTCTCACTGTCCATGCGAGTCAATCTGCAATACCATTTTTGTCAATAAATTCTCATGATATTCCCAATTACAGACTGTGTGTGTGTGTCATGGGATATGTGGGTACTCTGCATGCATATGTGTATGATATTAGCGAGCAAGACTTTGTGTCGATCTGTGTGCGTGTTCGGGAGAATCCATTAAGCCTTGGCTGCCTCTGTCTCTCTCTTGCATACATCCACACTCACACGTCCTTACACACCCTCAATGAATCATCATACGTATTTCTAAACAAAGTTAGAAAAACCAGTCTCATTGTTCTGTTGCAACTTAATTATGAGTCACCCACAGTGGGTGAAAGTAAGTTCATTTACTATACAGTACTTAAAATTTGATTTGGAGATGAAGAACTTGTGTTTTTCTTCTCAATCTCAATCACATGCATATTTATACTTGTACTGCAATTCAAAGAGAAATATTGTACTTGTACTGCATTTATCTGACAGCTATTGCTACTCGCTACTTTGAAGATCAAGATTTTACAAACAAATCACATGATCGGCTTATAAAATATGATGCACTTTAATAGATTAAACAACCAGACTGTGTGTTTAGTTTTTGACTTTGCTCATTTGTTACCTGCATGAAATTGGAATGAACTCCATTTGCTGACAAAGACTGAGATAATTAAAAGCTGTGGAAAAAGCAAGTATGTGCATGGACCCTGAATTATGATTGCTTTGTCACAGAGATATTTTCAAGGCCTAGAATGAATTTTTATGCTCAAGTACAGAGAAGACTTCCTCTCTTTAACAGTTGCAATGCGTAAAATGATAATACATTTTTAATGATAATAATAAAATACAAGGCTGGATTACCAACTGAGCAAAGCAAGAAACTTTCCTGGGGTTGCACAACAACATGGGCCCAAAATACCAACATTGTTTCTCATTAATTGTAACTTTAATCAGGGAATTTTCACCAGTGAAGTACAATGACCACTGCAAGTCAAGTCAAGTCAGTTTTATTTAGGCTATATGGTGCCAAATCATAACAGAGGATATCTCAGGGTACTTTTCATATAGAGCAGGTCCAGACCGTATTCTTTATAATGTGCCAGGATCTTATCTTATGACCTTATATTGTAGAAGGTCCTTTTCTTATTGCTGCTTTTATTGAAGATTTCTAACTATTCTAACTATTGTTGTGTGTCTTCCAACACTGGACACCAAAATATTCAGATACTACAACCAAAGGCCTAATGACAAATCCACAGGGCTGCACTGAGGAGTTGAAAGCTCCAGAAAAAGCTAGTAAGTAAAACTTGAGTGTTGACTGTTTCCTAGGTCAGAATGAACTTTCACACTCGCCATCATACTCTTTCTCTCTGTAAATATCACGGAAGTTTTTCATTCCCATTCAATGGGAATGAAAATATTAGAAACGAGGGTAATGTGGTGGGTTGTGTTGGAGTTTCTCTGTTGAATCTCGCGGTATTTGACAGCTTTCCTCCACTCTTTGACACTTGCCCCTCCTCTGCGCTCCGGGAATGCTGGGTTGTTTACATTACTGGCACACGGGTCAGGAGTGCGGTGATGAAGGGGGGCGGTCGGGGAGGCCTAGTGGAGAGACTGTCTGAAAACACGTACACATCTCGACTGGCTCTACAGCACAGGCTCTGTCTCCTCAAAAAAGTTTTGAACGCTCAGGCTCAGTAGTGCCACGCAGGAAGAGAGGCCCACCGAGTCAACTTTTTACAGCGACCTTGGAGAGAAAGGGAAAGTCAAAACAAAGACAACCGCCATAACCATCAGGAGAAGCTCTCAACGTCAAGAAGGAATAGCTTAGCAACAGAGTTCCACTTCCTGGTAAGAACTGAGACAGCGTTAGCTGACACTCAACTTATGAAACTGAGCTACAGCCAATGGACCTCTCGTAAGCTGTTATCCCCTCTAATTCGACTCGGTTACTAAACTACTCACAGTTGTCGCTAGTTGTTGTGTAAACTGGAGCTTGGCAAGCAATTGAAAAAGTTTCTACGAAGTTCGCTAACTAGCTTAGCCCATTAGCTTGCTAGCATGCCGCATTGCTAACTTTCACCACCTATAAATTATATAGCCCAGCCGACTATGTCAGTTACAGTTAATGATGACACTGTAATATTATGATGAGAGTGTGCGAATGAAACACTATCCAACGCAGCTTTCTACGCGTCGCATCATAGCCATGTAATGTAACTAAACCTGTAGTGGAAACAAGACGGTAGTCAAATAAAGTAGCCACTTGTTGATGTCATGCTACAGTGTTACAGTACACGCACAACACAATTAACAACGCAAGTGTAACTTTTACTCTTAAAGATGAAATTGCAGAGCACGTCTCTTTACTCTGCATTATTACACTCATGTTGGTTTAGGTCTGTTTCCCTTTGCAGTGTAGGCATGCGCGCGTGCGCCCGTGTGTGGGGTTTATAATTGTCTTCCGTAGAAGTAGTAAAAGTTCTCCAAAGTGATATATCTGTAACAGCTAAAAATCCATTCAGCTCAACATGCCTACTTTACTGTGGATTACTAAAATGTAATGCACTGTCAGTGGTTAAATTTTTTTAAACAACTCAATGTAGAGTTTAACACTGTGATATCTGTGATATACACCCGTGCAAATGAATACAATAGGCAACATCGGGCTGTGCCATCATAAATCAACAGGTACAAAAAATAGTTGGCCACATTTTCTGCTTGTCCTGCTTATTTATGTAAAGTGAGAGTTTTAAAGTCCACGTGTTTGATAAGTAGATAACTTTCATGGGTCTCTAAATAGCCTATTTATTTTTCTTTAAGAATTTTTATTTTTTAGGCATTTTTCACCTTTATTAGACACAGGGTAATGAAGATGCAGACAGGAAACAACAATATCAAGGAGAGAGAGAGGGGAATCACATGCAACATTACCCAGCCAGTACTGAACCATGGACATTGTAGTTATGTGGCATATCTTGCATATAACCATTTGGCTACATATGTCTACATTGTATACCTGAATGTTACATCTGCATCCTATAAACTAACTCACATACCAATTTAAAATAAAAAATCTCATAATTTCTCAATCATTGATTTAAATTTAAAAGGTTTAAATGTAAGCGCAATTAAATGAATTAATTTATACTTCAACCAGCTTGGTCTTTATTGTTTTGGTTCCAACCATCATAGGTGTGGGAAATGTGAACACAAGGCCAGCGGTGTATTCTAAACCCTATAACAGTGTTAACAAGTCTTACTACAAAACAAATGTTACTAAATAACTTTAAAAGAAATTGTGTCAGTTTGCTTTTCTAAACCATGAAGTTTAAATGTGCATTGTATCCTGATACATCTCTGTCTGGAAAAAACACTTGGCCCAAGTGCTGCTTCCAGCTCTCTGTTTCAGACTGTTCAACACAATAAGAATTATAGCCTGGAAGACAGAGTTTATTTGGAAGAGAACCACTGGTAGTTGTAAAGAGATGGTTTATTTGAATGAAAAATAAATCTAGAAATCTTCTTTGGAGGTGGAAGTTTTTCTTGTGTGACTCACTGCTTTTTTTGTGAGTCAGAATGGTTATTGCAAAACCTTGTCACACTGATTGCATTCACAGTTCTGTCCGGACTTGAGTGGACCATTTTGTATTGTCTCATCTTTAATTATAACAATAATGACAACAATAGTTGTGAAAAAAAAATAAAAAATAAAACTCAGCGATGAACCATACAGGTATTTTGTGCTGTGCCTCTCTCTGGCCTAACAATTTTATGGGTCACACAAAGGTTGAAAACAGTATCTCATGCCATGTTGCTGTCGCTGCCTATCACAGCCAAATATTTCAGGCGTCATACTATCACATTTGGCTACGCTGCAGAGAGATGATTCAGACAAGAGTTAGTGGGAACTGACATACCTTGTTGACCCAATTATTACTCACTTCTCTGTTGCCACATTCGATCATTGTCAAAGACAACAGGCTTGAGTGTGCCAGCGTCATCAGGTAATGGAGATGAACACAGGCTGGCTCTGTGAAGTTGACTATCAAGGAATGTGTCACGAACCGGATGAGCAGTAAATCACTGCCAAATGTTTGTATCACTCTTTGTGGCGAGGGATTTCTGCCAGTATATCCCACTTTCAATTTCAGCTGACGAGAGGTAGATTACTTTTGACAGGCTTTGGCTAAACTTAATGATTTAGCCTTGTTCTAGTGTTTGGATGTAAAAAAGAGTAGCCAGACTAGGAAGTTGTGATAGCAGTGGTGATCAGTAGTGTTTAGTCTGATTGAATGACAACTCCTGAAAATAGAAGCACACAGAAAGAGTATTGTTGTCAGACTTCATCCTACTTGACTTTTTCCCCTTCACAAGTTATTTTACTTGATTATTGGAAGAGGCGTTGATGATACCATTACTTCATGAGAAAGAAGAGAGCCTTCTTAGAAGCACAGATATGTATATATATCTATATGTAAACTTACCAGGCTTTGCCCTATCTCTAATTTAGCCTGGGCTAAGATGCATAAATACTGGCCAAGGCCATACAGTTCATATCTTCTCTATCAGTGCAGTTTTAATGGCTTTCTACTGCTAAGACATTCACAGAGAAACCTAAAATGCTATTCATTGGTGTGGAGAAATCTGCTGTACCCACAGCAGTGATTTAGTGTAGCGGAATTTACCAAATCGCTCTATCCTGTGAGAGTTTCCTGTTTTAGCCCTGGAGCTGGCCCCTCTACTGGATTAAAGATCAGAGACATTTGTCATCTGACCACTGTAACAGTCATCTTGCCTTTGGGTTTTCACAAAGAACAAAAAATGTTAGCTCTTTTTTTTTTCTTTCACAAAGCATATTTGAAGGAAGATGCTTCCTTAGGCGATTTTTGAGCTACATTAAACACTGTCTTTTGCATGATGTCAAAGACCTTGGCCAAGCGTTGTACAGAAATGATGCTGGCAAAGGTAGCAGATCACTGCTCGGAATATAGGCTACTTATGTGTTCTGGCTTTGCAATTATTTGTTACATTATCAGATGATAAAATGCAAGAACATATAAAGAAAGAAAATACAAGCTAGATGCCTTCCCCAGAAGAATTCAGAATTGAGTCTTTCCTTTCCAGGCTCAGTTTGGTTAGGGTTTAGAGTAAGGTCTTTGGCAATGAGAGTGGGCTGTCTGAGCAGCTTCTTACACTCCCCTCAAACAGCCAGCCTGTCAATATTTTTCATATCCATCTCCCTTCTATCTTATGAAGGGTCACTGATGTTTTAAGCATTCAAATATCCTTGGAGGATGCCTCGCGGCTCCTCACGTCACGTGAAAGTTCTCAATTTCACTATGGCATTGATGCCTTTTCTCATCGGGCTCTATAGTGCTCTGGGGGGAAACAGACTACAAAGACATGCAAACACAAAAATTACTGACCTAAGACCCCGTTTAAAGTTTATGAAACGCTTTCAGTGCCCCTTGGTCAGCTTATGCCATGACCACACAATATCAGTGGGTTATTTCCCTGCAAAGGGTGACTGAAAAGGTTTTATTCATGCTTATTTTTTCACAATCATGGTCTTCTCTTTGGCTCTGAAATCCTGCTGTGTATAAAACAAGTCTCTAAAATGTAATGGAGTTTTGAACCTATTAAAATAATGGAATAATTAAAACAGTAACATTAAAGGCATTTTTCACATTTACACTAAAGAGCCTTTAAGCACCAAAAAAAATATTAAACAAAGATGAAGAAATAAATAGCTACATTACGCTTGCCTTTTTCCAGTGCATACTGGAAAGGTTAAAACAAGGTCTACTTGGATATTATGTTGCTATTATTAATATTATTACTATTCTACACAGAAAATGAGTTGATATTTCATCATTTTTGACATATTGACAGAAATAGCATGGTGTTGGCTGTGTGCACTTTTTGGACATACTGACTTGACTGAAATGGCTGTGTAATGCAGCTATTATAATTAGTTGTTTAAGTACACTGACTCTTTTCATATTTTGCACAGTTCGCTTATTGAGTTTTGTTTTCACGTGAGAGTCAGCCTACATATGCTATTTGTGGGCTACCTCATCATGCATTATGTTATACATATCTATCTCTACCTATAGTATATGAACTGTGCCTATAGGTTACTGCATGTTGAGGAGTAAGCTGCAGTTTGTTGTCATCTAAACAAAGCTACCAGAGTCATGTTGGCATATTGTGAACTGCCCTGGAAAGATGGCTCTCAAGCAGTATCTTCCTTTTTCATTGGAGATCACTCTCCAATCGTCCCCTCTCCCGCTCTATCTCTTTTGATTATCCACATGCAAAAATACAAGTCCCTCAGGATACAAATTCACTTTCACAGAATAATTACAAGATGCTGTATGCCACTGTAAACACCACATCAGTGACAGTGACAGTATGCATTTGTCATGAGATGAGACAAAAGCAGAATGAATTTGCACTCATGAACAGAATGAGAGAGGGAGAATTTTTTTGTGTTGCTTGCTGACTGTGCTATGGGCGTTTGTTCCAGCCTCACCACAAATGAGCGTTAATGTTTCACACGGGATTTGCTCCAGAAGAGAGCAAATTTGTATGAGAGCATCTTGTTTTGACAGACTGTCTGTTTTACCCTCCCCCTTTTCATTGTGGAAAGCCAGGGACATTTCACTGTCTCTCTTGCACTTTTTTTCTTTCTTTCACGTTCTGTTTCTTCTTCTCTCCTAGTGACGTCAGGAGTTGAACTGCAAGATAAGGATCAGGGTTGATTAAGGCATTTTTAAATTTGTCTATCAGGTTTGTAATGCCAGAGTCTTTATTTATTGTAACTCATTTTACTCTGGGTATACCAG